AACGCAGCGTATTAAATAATTTTATGAGAGCATTTAGGGATTGATAAAGTCGAATGTAGGACGTAATTTGTATGCACTATGTTCCAAAAAACGTGTGTTCATATTTTTGCGAGACAAACAAAAATATGAAGATTCAAACGACACGTGATTTCAAATAAACTTAATGAATATTTAATTAAATATCCACATTTAACCGTCGTGGGAATTCCTTGCCGTATTTTTTGCACATTATTTATTTTTAGAAATAGCACATCTAAAAATGGTCAGTTTAGCACATCGTAACAAATAAACCGGCTGAACGGATTATCGGTTGGATGCGCTCGCGTCATTGCGGCTAACGACTAAATGTCGTCTATCTTGCTGGTATATGATACCTCTCTAACTTGCCAGGGTATCTACGTCGATCAGATTGTAGTTTCTTGAAGGAAAGTACGAAACTTATGTATTTTTCGCATGTTGTTCCATACAAGGATTTTCTTCTGTTTCGTGGGTGTGTGTAAAAAAAAGAATTCTGGGTCAAACAAGAGCTGTTCCGTGAGGGACTGGAACACGTTGCGCAGCGGCAGTCAAATATATATTTTCACTATGACAAAATGAGGTTGAGCTCTTTACTCAAACTTATATAAGTTTTGATACTGATGTTTAGCAATCGGCGCCGCCTATGTATACCCGCATCACCAGAGGTGTTGCAAGTGCGTTGCTGGCCTTTTAGAGATAAAGGGTTTTGGTGATTTATGGATTCGGGAAGTATGTAGGCAGGGGAAGGATTCTGCCTCCAGTAACCTCACTCACACAGTGAAACACAAAGTTGTCGTTGTTTCACGGCAGTTTTCTGTGAGGCCGTGGTACTACTTTGGCGGAGGAGTGGTCCTTTTGCAACGAACTATTGTTAACCTAAATTTCGAAGTCCGTTAAACAAAATAGCGGATGTGAGCTAGCTGCTACTCGTATTCTAGACTGCGCGCTGAGCCAATCTCCTCTACTAAATATAAACAAAAATATTACGATCAATTTACCAATGAAGCAGCTCACTCGCTATCAATTATTGCTAAAAATAGAATAACACACTGGGCTTGCGTGATAATATATGCAGGTCCTTATACAAACATGCGTTCGATAACAAATTATATTGTTTTAGTAGGTATCTTTTTGAGTTGCTTCGAATTGTGATTTGGCCGAATACTGGATATTCGGCGGCCGAATATTATGAAGTAGAAAAGTTGGATTTTCATATAAAACTAATTCACCTTGATCGGAAGGCTGATCCTTACGAGCAGTGTGCAGCAAACGCTTTTTTTTGTCAGGGGATAATCATCAAATGCCTTCTCCCGCCCAGGGTAAGGCGAGAGAGAGTGACTCTTAATTATACTTTATTGCACACACATACATTTATAAAAATACAATTAAAAAAAAATATGTACAAAGGCGAGTTAATAAAATATGTTAACCCAGAGTTGGGTTCTCTAACAGCAAACCTTAGAGCGATAGAGAGATTGGATATGGAAGGGTAAAGTCATAAGTGCGCAACAACACATTACTGAGAAAATATAAACACTATAACAATATATAAAGACAATAAATATATATAATATAATAAAGCTACACAATATATTAACATAATACATAAAAATACAATATATACATATATAAATACATACATATATAGTCATGTTGACAGTAAATGTTCCCTGGTTCGTTCCTTGAAAACATCTAACGATTAGCTCTCGCGTATAGTGTGAGGGAGAGAATTCCAAAGCCTCCCAGCACGAACAGTGAAGGATCCATCATAACGGCTCGAAGTATAAGGAGGGACACGAAGAAGAAGAGATGAAGAGGAGCGACAGGATTTGCCTCTAGGAACGAGGAATTCAAAGCGTTCCCGAAGATAGCTTGGTGACTCTTACTGACTAAAAACCTCCCCGTTCCTTCTCCTGCTTTAGGCCGCGGCCACGGTGCCGTTTTGCGATTGCCTCGCAACTCCAGCTGAAGAAAAAGACAGAAGTTGAAGCTACTTGCCGTCCGCAGACTTGCGCTTACGGTGGCCGGAGATCATCTCTCGATCCCCGACCCCGGTATATCCCCGTAAGTAGGATAGTTCCCTCACGCGCTCCGCCTCCACCTTTGCGAGCATCACTGCTTCGACAAAAGAGGAGACGGTTTCTAGTTCCTCTCGCTAAGAACCATGGCCTCGACTGAGGCCGGGCGCGAGTGGTCGCCGCCTCCGATTATTTCTCCGAGGAATGGTAGTGCTCAGCCCAAGCAAGGCACACCGCCACCGTATACGGTGGACCGTATCTTCAGGGTGGCTCAAAGAGGGGTCTTACCGCTGCTCTAACAGCGTGCCCGGTGCAGCAAACGCTAAAAAATATCAAAGCATTTCGAAATTTGGTAAAGTTTATCTTCCTTATCGCTTAAGCCTCCTGCAGTAGTAACATAATGGGAAGATTGTGGAAGCTACCCTCATTTATAAAAAAAAAAAAAATATCGTCTGCTAATAACAAGAAATAAAATAATTGTTTAATAGAAATAATTGTTTTTATCTATCATGCCATAAAACTGATAGATTTTACTTCTGATATGTTGTAATTTGGATGTGAATACAATGAATACAACAAAACGATATACATATAAATATAAATTTTAGTGAGAGGCATGTCTTTTGTTGTCATAATTTGGTATTGTATTCTGCTGAATAGTACGTATTATTCGGCCAAAATGCCGAAATACATAAAAGTGGCCAAATACCGAATTATAAGCTGCAATTCTTAGTATTCTCTTTTTCATATTTTATGATGAAATAGAAATATACTAAGAATTGAAACATAGGCCTTTACCAATAGGAGAACTTTTAACGTATATCCTCCATAGTTATATAGGTACTCACGTATATAACTCCATAGTTGAAACGGGAAAGGCCTTGAGACAACGGTCTCAACCGAAGAAAGGGCTCGATGTCATCGCAGCGGTAAGACCCCTCTTTGAGGACTGGCTAGGCAGAAGGGAGTTTCTGCTCACCCTGCTTGCCGCAACCCTGGTTGAACATCATCGTCTGTGACTTTTTGAGGCGCGCGCGAAACGCTACGCGCCGGACGCTCGAGTCTGGTTCTTACTCGCCGTCTGCAGTCCGTCCGTGAGCGTCCTCACCTTGAAATAACAGTTTCGGAAAATATCAGTTTCACATTCAACGGGAGGAAACGATCTGGTATCGTCACTGCTAGAACCACTAGGTAGCTGCACACGTTAAAGTGGAACCGGAGGTCCCATCCTCTTCGTCCCTCGGTCCTTGAATCTTCAAAACCCATCCCCAAAAGGTCGGCTACGTACTTGTATATTCCTTCATTGTTATCCATGGAATGATTGCTTACCATCAAATATACATATTTGATGATGATTATTCACAATAAAATTGTTCCGTGTGATAATTGACTCTGCGATATGTTATGTAATTCCCATTGAAGGGTACTTCAGGTTTTTTAAGTAGCATTTTGATTGTATCCCTAGTTTTCGGAAATGTTTTGAATATTTGTATTACTTAGTATTTTTTTTTTCTTTTGTTAACTAAAGGTTTCTTGTTAATACTCATTGATCCTTGCAATTTACTTGTATAATAAGCTGTAATCACTGTAAAAATATTGATATGCTCGCTTCTTAATTTTAAGTCTGTCACTATACGTGAGAACTTATAATTGGCTTTCAGTAGTTTATGTTGGCTTCTATTTTTAGTTAGATTAAGCTGTAAGTCCTCCAGAGTGTAATAAATAAATAAATAAATAAACTTTAACTTTGTTTTTCTGTATTCGTGTTTTTTACTTGTAATGTAGGTTATTGCCACTGTTGATTTTAGTAATCAAGTCGTATGTAAACAAGATATTATTGAATGACATTATAACCACTTCTTGAAGTGCAATATTTACTGAACTCAACAAAGGCTATCGAATGTTTAATTCTAAGTCTTAATGTTATTATTATAAGGTTGGAAATTCTTCAAACAGTAGGATTAAGGTTGCATTTATATATAATAATGAACAAAAACATTGTGGTTTGTGGTATTGTTTTTGTTAAATAACCCTAATAACGGTGGAACCATTAAAACAATCTTACAAATACAAAATTATACAAAATTACTAAATTGTTGTACAAAATTGGTTTCATGTGTGGGAGAGCTATGCTTCGGCACGAATGGGTCGGCTCGACCGGAGTGATACCACAGCCTCACAGAAAACCGCCGTGAAACAACCACAGCGTTGTGTTTCGCCGTGTGAGTGAGGTTACCGAAGGCCCAATCCTTCGCCTCCCCCATCCCTAAATCTCCCCATCCCCAATCCTCAAAAGGTCGGCATCGCTTCATCACTCGTAACTGCTCTGTTGTTGCGGAAGTCCATAGGCGGCATTGATTGCTTACCACCAGGTAATCCGCCAGCTCGTTTGACGACTTATCACATAAAAGCCTATAGTTTATTTTGTACGGCAGAGTATAGATTTTTGCGCATATTTGGCGTAATGGCTGGGCAACTCACTGCCGTGTCGCGGGATCGGTCCTCGCACGGGACAACACTTTGTGTGATACACAAATTAATCCAATTATTGTTTCGGGTCTGGGTCGCTTGTGAAAAACCCACCCAGGACACAGGAGAAAATCGTATTATGGAGCCACGTTTTTTCTAAAAAATAAAGAATTGAAGCAAATGAAAGAGTGCGTTTTATGCTGTAGAGGTGCTATCACTGCACTTTCTCTACTCAATCCATTTTCTTATTTGCTAGTAAAAATAACCAAGACCGGTCTACATAAATAGACAACAATAATAACGATAGTTTGCGCTCCCCACGTACCAGGCGCCTATAAACCACGAAGATATTATCGTGCCATATACAATTATATATATATATGTACATACATCAGTGTGTGACACGCTGTATCCCTTTTTTCTCGGCGTCTTATATGCCCGTGCGCAGTCGTGATAACACAGTCCCCTAGTTGCCTGTGGAACATACATATCAACATGATATTGGAATTAATAATATTTGTGATAACAGTGCTTACTGCATATCATTTTTATAACAATTGGAAAATAGACAACTACTTTAAAGAAAGAGATGTGAAATATTTACCCGGTGTACCGTTTTTCGGAAATGTATTTTATTCAACTTTCCTGTTCAGGCATTTTTTGGATGACCTACAAATTGTTTACGATGCCTACCCCGATGAAAAGTAAGTACTTTCTGTTCTTATTTACTAAACGTCAAATCAAAATATTTATTTTGTTTATAGAGTAAAAAAAAACCTTTCATAGAAACTTACCAGGACATCATAAAATCAAAGCTAATATACCATTTTCAGATACGTTGGGTTCGTGGAGAACTCTGCACCGGTATTAATAATAAGGGATCCAGAACTGATCAAGGCCATTACTATCAAGGATTTTGACCATTTCACTGACCATAAGGATTTCTTCTCACCAGACTCCGAACCTTTGTTCGCTGGCAGCTTGCTGATGATGAAAGGTAAGCTGAACAATTTAAATGCTATATTTTCAATGTGTTTCTAACAGTTTTTTTTAACCTTGGATTTACTATGACATATCTTATTCTAATTCTTGTCCTTATTTCATGTTACCTTGGTACTTGGTATGGCTCTTTTTTCATTCTCCCTTACAAAGCTGTTCAAAATTAATAAGACTGTTCTTTTTTTTTAAAATGGATAATGAACAAGGATTTATTTAGTAAAAAAGGTTCTTTATAAAGAGTAGTGTATAACAAGATAGTCTTTTTATGTAAATATTATGTAGGTATTATTCTTTAATTGCATTTATAGGCTGTTTGTTTTAACGGCCCATATAAATTGCTATACAATAAACAACGCCTTAATGCCTTAAGAAAGGTTTTTTTATTGAAAGGCCACTAAAATAATGAAGACTGACAGACACTTTTAAGTGTGGGAGAGCCATGCTTCAGGAGTGATACCACGGCCTCACATAAAACCGAAACAACCACAGCGTTGAGTTTCGCAGTGTGATTGAGTTAAACGGAGGCCCCATTCTTTCCCTCCCCTAATCCCTAGATCTCCAAATCTCTAGTTCCTAAAAGGGCGACAACGCAGTCGTAAGTCCTCTGTTGTTGTGGGTGTCCATGGGGGTCGCTGATGGCGTACCATCAGGTAATCCGTGGACTACAGTTATAGTATTGATTTATTCAGTGCTAAAGTTAACACAGCATTGATTGAGCTTGTTAATATGTCTCACAGACTGTCTTGAGTGTATAGCATTACCACAATTTAAGCTTCGAATAGGTATTCTATGTATGTTCCAGATAGACCAATTTTAGTGAGCATGCTCTCTCCGTTTGATAGTTATATCTCCCCTCAAATTGGTCAATATATGGACTGCATCAATTTTAAAAGGTCTTAAGTGGCTGAGCTAGATAATGGTAGTTGAAGGTTAAAGGGGAGTGGTAATGTTCAAGTTAGAATGTCTAGTCTAGACCACTTAGTATATCTAGCTCTCGATATACTGTACCTACCTACTCAGTTTTTCTGCAATGTGTTATCGATTTTGTTACAAAGAAATAGAAAGTTCAAAATAGAATATATCTAATATATTTATAGGAAAATACAGAATTGATACAGCTCCTGATACGAGCATTTTTATATCTTGGCTATTAGGATTAATAAAAAATACTAATCTTTAAATATATTTTACGTAAGAGATTTTTATAAGTACTATAATTTTACCCAAACTAAAGAGTACTGCTTTGTACTAGGCGCACATAGCATGTAGGATACTATCTTCAAACGTTTCTTTGATATTCGAATGTTTCTTCAATTAAAAAAAACAATAACTGTCGAATGTAAAAGGAAGAAAAATTGGGTAAATATTCATTAACGTCAAATATTTGTTTGATGTTAATATATTTGACGAATATTTTTCCGTGGTTATTTTATTAAGAAAATATTTCGAGAATAAACAACCGCTCAACAAATGCTTCCAAAAGAAAATAGTGGAAGACACCTAACAACTGAGCTCCCTTCTAAAATCTTTGGCAAATATTTAGATACTATAATTTTCTTGTACATAAATTATTCGGTACACGTGTATAAAATGTTTTCTTTAGCAAATTGGGCAAAGCTCCGGCTTTAATTAGACTATTTTAGTATAAATATATTTATATTTATTTTATTACGTGTCTGATTTTAACGAGGTATAACTGTGGTTTTTATTTGTGAATAAAATTACTGTCGCAATTTGCAACTATAGTCTAATTTTCGCTTTTGAGAGAATTATTATGAAGTTTTTTTTGTTGTATTCGTTGTAAAAAATCGTTAAAGTTTCAGTTTGTTTAGTTTAATGGCTTATTCACGACAAACGAAATCGACTGGTTTCAAGTCGCGGTAGGGGTTCACATTCAGGAGCTGTATTGCGCGGGACACGGCATATAGCGCCTATGTTTTATAAAGTCCTGGTCTTTAAAGGCGGCAATGTGCTTCTAAATCCTCACACCTACCCATCCGCTGATTATTTACCATCTGGTCCGTCTACTTTTTTGGTTCCTATTCCATAAAATAACCATAAAGATGGCTTTCAAGCTATTACATAAAAAATAATATAGTGATAGCTTTCAAATATTTGCTCCTTGACTGCTTGAGGGATGAGTGTTTATAAACGCGACTCTCAAATTGCATTGGGCTTGAAGATTTTGGATTCGGTGTTAGATATAGTTTTTTAAATCAAGTTTTAGTAGTAGTAGGTAAATGTTACACTCTAAAATTATACCTAGGGTATTTAAGGTATTATATGTTATCAATGTCTTGCCAGAAAGCTGTGGAAATGTGAACGTTCTAAATGCACTTGTGTCAATAATCGTGAGGAAATAAAGAGGTGGCTACTAATTATCATTGTTGAACTTCATTCTGAAAATCAGACATTTTATGATACTTATTTTATTTTCAGGTGAAAAATGGCGTCAAATGAGAACAACTTTAAGTCCAGCGTTTACTGGGTCCAAAATGAAAATGATGCTGCCCCTGATCGTGGAAAGTGCTGACAACATTGTCGAGTATTTATATGGTCTGTTTCAATAATCATTTAGAATTTGTATTATTAGATTAGGTCTCGAATAGTTACATTTTACGGAAAAATGTACTGTAAAGTCATTATTGGAAAATATTATATTTTTCATTAATGAACATTGAAATTAATATTTTCTCCTGTATTGTAGTTGCGAATTTGTATTGTACAAACTATAAAATAAGTAAAAAAACTGTCATTAAGTATGTTGTTAGTGTTGTAGGAAGTACGGTAGTAGACGCTAAAACCAACCGATCTTAATCCAAAATCCCTAGTACTTAACCTGGGCTATTTTGACTTTAGACTTTGGTTTTTGACAAAAATCTAATAGAGCAAATGTCAAAAATCGACTCAATCCAAATATTGTCCAGTGAAAACGAATAGGATCGCGTAGTATATAACATTTGCCATTAGACACTTTATATTATTTTTACGTTATATATTTTTTAGATCACCAATCCGAAGATATTGATGTAGATGACCTGATGCGTCGGTACACAAGTGATGTCATAGCGACTGCAGCGTTCGGCCTCAAGGTCAACTCTTTAAAAGACCGGGACAATGAATTTTACAAGATTGGCAGCTCGCTGTTTGATTTCACCTTTACACAGAGACTTTTGGTGTTCAGCACTTTTTTGCCGTTCATAACAAAGGTAAGACAAAGGACTTACTTACTTACTTACTACTTGAAGTTTATGAAAAAGCCGTATTATGACGGTACGGTGGAATATTTTAGTAGGAATTAATTGAAAGTAACGACTTACTCAATTCATGTGAATATATTGAGAAAAGCTCAATCTATAACGGGATTCTTATTTATGAGCAGTATGCGCACGATTTCAATAAACTTAGACTTATCTAAGTCTATTAAATTATAATAGTATAAAATAAGTCTATCAAAAATACTTTAAATGTCCCCCTATTTTTTGTAAAAATCAACTTCAGTCACCATAGTCCTCATTTGCTAGATTCTAGGCAACAGCGCTCTCTGATTCCTTTAAAACTGTGATCTTCAACCCGCTTAGACTGTTACCAAGTCTGAAATTACTGTACGTCTTCTAATGTTGCATAGACCCATATCTCAACAAAGGATTTCTTCGGCTATATTTATTTTGATTGTTGTTGTTTCCAGAAATTTGGATCTCGTCTATTTCCCGATGCAACATACCAGTTCTTTAGAAACATCGTCTCTTCGACCTTGGAATATAGGAAGAGAGAAAAAGTAGAGAGACCTGACATGATACAACTTCTTTTGGAAACCCCAAGAGGTAAGGATAATTCACCTAACTAATAAAGTCTATTGTAATAAATTTTTTAGTAGTGGTACATAAGATTTTACCCGCCATTATCAATACATTATCTACTATGTTGCAAAAGCACAAAGTTGAAAATTCATCAGAGAAATTGATTTGAAATAGGTACTCTGTTGTACTGTTCTGGCACATCTGCAAATTTTATTAAGTAGATCTTGACTAGACCATTGTTAATTAGGTTTTCCTCATGGCTGTCGTTTTTTTACAATATAATTTTTTTCAGAATGGACTCCTGATGAGCTGACAGGCCAAGTGTTCATATTCTTTGCTGCTGGCTTCGAAACATCTGCTAGTGGCCTGGCCATGACTATCCACGAACTAGCATTGCACCCTGATATCCAAGAGCGACTGTACCAGGAGAGCAGCCAGTTTAAGAACGACACAGAGCTTACATTTGACAAACTCAGCCAACTCAAATACATGGAATGTGTGATTAATGGTAAAATAATAACAAAATTATTAGCAAACCTTAAATATAATTCTGTTAATATTTTTTTTTTATATCAAAGGGTACCGAGACCACTACTGCTCTCAAAACACCTACACTATGTCATTTACGTCTTTGCATTTTAATATTGTAAAATTTTACGTATTTTGTCGCGAACAACATGTAGAAGTTAGCGTTAAGTGACGTTTTTTATGTAATAGTTCGGCAAACCAACAGATGGATTACCTGGTGGCAAGTAATCAGCGCCGCCCATGGACACCCGCAAGGGAGGAGTTACGAGTGCGTTGCCGACCTTTTAGGGATTAGGGATTTGGAAATCCCTAAGGATTGAGGAGGGATTGGGGGAGGGAAAGGATCGGGCCTTCGGTAACCTCACTCACACGGCGAAACACAACGCTGTGGTTGTTTCACGCCGGTTTTATGTGAGGACATGGTATTACTCCGGTCGAGCCGACCCATTCGTGCCGAAGCTTGGCTCTCCCACACTTTAAATCTCCTTTATCCCATCTTATTGAACTTTACTCTCTATTCTCTAAATTATTACTTTGTCATGGTCTTCCTCTTAAAGCGCTATCGTACATACTACATCCAATCTGAATCTGATCCTTCAAACCTTTGGAAATATCGTACAGTCGTGAAACTATTTGTATGGTAGTTTACGCACTTTACCCGTCATCGGATTTCTTTCGAGGAATATTCGAATTCTTTCCGAGTTTTCTTTACGTCTGTTTTACTCAGATTTGGATCGGATTTAAATCAGACGTAATGTGAGAAGCACTTTCATACTCAGACCGCACCGTGGTCGCAGTGGCTGGGCAATTAAGTAGCTGCCGTGCAACGTGTCGCGGGTTCGATTCCCACACGGAATAACTATGTGATCCACAAATTGTTGTTCCGGGTTTGGGTGTTAAAGTGCATAGGAAATGAAATGAAAGATGTTTTTCGGCCAAAGGCCTGAATGCCAAAAACAAGAAAATAATAGTCACAATAATAAAAAAATACAAAACAATAATAAAAACTGAGACTGGAAACAGAAAAAAAGGTAATAATGAAGCTTTTTTTAACACGCTTTTATTTAAATACTGCAGTTTTAAATGTTTAGAGGTATTTCAGAAGTTCAGAAAAAAAATCCGATGTAACTTTTATCTAGGTATTAATATGTATCCACAATTAATGCAATTTTCTGTGTCTTCTAGAAACTCTAAGGAAGTGGTCCCCAGCTATCTTCATGGATAGAACCTGTGTTAAAACATATGAATTGCCCCCACCCAGGGAAGGTGGAAAACCAAACATTGTAAGTAGAAAATATAGTTTGAATAGCGACCATTCGCATTGGTGCAATTCTGATACGAAATTTTATTTTCCATGGCATATTTAAGGGATGTTATTATACATATAAACTTTCCTCTTCAACCACTCTATCTATTAAGAAAAAAAAAACGTATCAAATTCCGTTGCGAAGTTTTAAAGTTTGCAGCATACTTAGGTATATAGGGAAAGAGAAAGCAACTATGTTTAATATTATGCAGTGATATCGTCACGCATCCACTTGTATATAAATAAAATCACGTGTTGATAATAATATGCAAATTTTCTCAACCAGTCTCGCATTTTAATTTGTTTTGTTTTTGGAAATATTTTAATTTTTTTAATAGTCGTAAATCTGGCAAAAAATGTATTATAGATAGTAATGATTCATTATTATGTTTTCGGCTTACTCGCTTACGACGCCGAGTTGCGGAATGTTGCTCATGAATATGGGCCTCTGGCATGGCTTGAAACTAGTCGAGTATCTCGTCAAATTATTACGTGAGTAAGCCGCAAACATAATAATTAATTTAGAATGTCTCACAAAAGTTATAATAAAAAGATGGTATTGATATTAATTTACCTACAATTTTTTTTATGTATCAGGTTAAACCAGGTGATTATGTCTACAACATGGTGAACTGCCTCCATATGGATCCTAAGTACTTCCCTGAGCCAGAAGTTTTCAATCCTGACAGGTTCTCTGATGAGAATAAACATAACATCCAACCATGTACCTTTGCACCGTTTGGGGGAGGCCCAAGAATTTGTATAGGTAAGTTGTATTTTTATATATGGTTGAGTGGCAAACAGAGCAGATCGATCACTTGATGGTAAGCAATCAGCGCCGCCCATAAGCACCCGCAACATTAGAGGACTTACAGGTTATCGAATATTGCTAGTCTTTTCGGGTAGGTATAGAAATTTGAAGATTGGGGGAATCGATATCGATTGGTTTCAGGCCTTTGATATCTTACTAACATGGTGAAAAAAACGCGTTTTTAAGTGTTTTTACGCCTTTTTTCTGTGAAGCCATGATATCACTTCGGACACCGAGACCAATTTAAAACCGAGTTGAAAAATTCATATAGGATTAGGACCCCGGGTGGAGGAAAAGTAACTAAAGTGTGGGAGGGCCAACCTTCGGCGCGTCTGGGTCCTCTAGAGTGGAGAGATGCGCCGAACAAAAAAAAAAAAAAAAAAATCAGAAAGCCGACGTGAAACAACCACACCATTGTTTCGCCATGTGAGTGAGATTACCGGATATCCAATCCCCTATCTCTTTTAAATCCTTAGATATCCGAAATCATTATCTCAAAAAGGGCGGCAACGCCCTCGTAACTCTTTTGGTGTTGTGGGTGTCAAAGGGCGGCGCCGATTGCCGACCTATTCCATAAAAAAACGAAATAAGACAAAGGCTTAATTTATTGCCTAATTTGCCTAAAATAATAAAAAAAATACTAAATGTATGACGTTAAGTATATAAAAAACCCGATGGAATGGTCATGGTCGATACGCCACGTTTTCTGTTTTGACGCAATTTATAAGAATAGAAAATCATACGACTTACGGTGGGAAACTGTTTTTATTTGAGATAATAGATAATATACCTAGCATTACAACAGTCAAGTTTTATTTACATTTCTGTACTTACATTACAAAAGATAAAAAGATAAGTAGGCCATCTTGTTCCTTCCTTCCCAGTACCAGGCATGCATAACTGACCCAAGGTGTTTTTCCACAGGAGTAAGGTTTGCTATGATGGAGATTAAGGTTCTACTGCATCACATTATATTGAACTTCAAGATTGTGAAAACGAAGAAAACTCTGAATCCTATCAAATTGCAACCTCATGTGTTTAACATTAGGGCTCTGAATGGAACGTGGGTTAAGTTCGAGAAAAGACAGTAATTTGGAACTTTTTGCAAGCCGATTTAATCCCTTCGACCACGTTTTTTATACAAATTTTAAACATTTTTAACACGACCGTGTCTTAGTTTTAATATTCTTTAAATAATTATTTAGCTTTTAATAGACCGCAAAAATAATGCAAAATACAAAACGTATGAAGAATATGGAATGGCTAGAAAAAAGGAGTGGTTTTTTGTTTGTTTCTCAAGGATGAATAAGAGTGTAATAACGTCTAGGTACAAGGCATATTTGTTGATATTTTAGGACGTAAAATTAAAAATCCCATTAATGCCACATCTATTCACATCAGCATCCTAACATTTTATGTTGCAAAATAATGAGTTACTAAAAATATAAAATTAAATATTCGTTTAGGTTATGTAGATAAAAGATAAGTCATTTCAAAGCTATGAGCATCACGTGTTTGTATTATTTTATTTTAATAATAATTATATAAAATAAATAGAGTTAAAATTTAAACGAATGCAGTTTTATTATATATACTTACACTGTACGAAAAAAGAACCTTATTAAAATTGTAAATGTCCCAATTGGTAAAGATGAATGTTAGGTATATATTATAGCATTATTTTGTTAATTGACTGCACAGTTGGTACCGCACGGAAAAACTCTTTGTGTGATCGACAAATTTTTGTTCCAGGTCTGGATGGCTCGTGTGTGTGAAATTGTAGGTTTGTAACCGCACTCACAACAGGTGAAAACCCTAGCGTGGTGCAAAGTCTTTTTTAAGAAAACGAAATATACAATTAATTGTCTGTCTTCTCCTTTGGATGGATCACCATGGAAAGCTATGATGCATCGAGGTACCATAGCTTTGTAACAACTATCTTGCAGCCTACTATTCACTTAGGCTGTGAATTCAAGTCCTTATTAATTGCCACATGATTTTGTTCATGGGGTTCTTTTATTCCGTTTTTACATTACTAATGGTCAGTCACTGCTCTGATGCCAGTTTGGAATTCATTCGCAGGAGGTGATCTTCTCTCTTCTTGTAAAGGCATGCAAAGTAAACTGTTGGTAGGATCTAGACAAGAATAAAGACAGTAGACAATATCATAAATGTATTATGGTTATTTTTTTTTGTCTTTTTTATGAAATAGATCGGTAAACGAGCCGGATTACCTAATGGCAAGCAATCAGCGCCGCCCTTCGACACTCTTAATTCCCAAGAAGTTACTACAAGTGCGTTGCCGGCCTCTTGTGGGTTATTAAGGATTTAAGGATATGGGGTTTGAGAATTGGGTAGGGAAGGATTGGGCCTCCAGTTACTTCACTCACACGACGTTTGTTTGGCTTCACACCTGTTTTCTGTGTCTTTCTATCAAAATTGATAAAAGTTTAAGTCTAAATTATTGATTCCGATTAGATCCTCACAGGCACTTATGGAATTTTTTTAAGGCAATTTTTAATATATATTTTAAGTTGTTTGTTGTTAACACATAATAATATATTTACATCAAGGATTTCAATAAGGTTTTCGTTCTTTGTTTACAAAGATGATAAAAAATATATTTCTTCAGGTAACTGTGTGTGTATGTCTACATTATACCTATAAACATTATAAACATTATATACCATTTTGAAATGCTCTCAATGAGGTTTTTCATTTGATATGCACTTCTATTTATATGTATAATACGGTATGGAATTACAATAGTAATATGCAGTACCTACTTATGCCCTTAATTACGTTAATTTTGTATAAGCATGTAAATATTTGTTATATATATGAAAAAATCATAGATGATTCAGTGGTTTATAAAACATGAAGTGTTTTTAAATGTTACCCTTAGACTACAGTTTCATATAAGTATCACGCGTTGACGCATAACAATAATTTGTGGAACACACAAAGAGTACTTCCTTCCTTCTGTCGGGCAAAAACAATAGTAATTGACGTCATGTATTTTTTAATCCTTTTTTAATTACTCACATCAAAATAAATACAGAGACAGCTAAGGAAAAAATATCATTATAAAGATGATTTCAGAAGCGATAGTCTGTTTGCTTACTTTTCTATTATTATACGTAATATATGAGTATAAGAAGATTCATTATAATTTCAAGAAACATGGTATTAAGTACAAACCCGGTTACCCAATATTTGGTAATACCTTCAACAGTACCTTTCTTTTCAAACATCTTATCGAGGATATTGATGCAGTATATACGGCGTTCCCCGAGGAAAGGTAAGTGATATTTATGTTCTCCTAGTACCATACATAAACATTACGATGGTATTCCCAGAGCTAGTGACCAGAGATGGCATAAACAGGGAAGTTTCATCAGTAATGTTGTCAAGTTGACATTCATAAGTGTTTTTTTTTCAATTTATTTTCAGATATGTTGGTTTTATAGAAGGTATGAAGCCCGTAATACTGGTTAGGGATCCTGAGCTCATGAAGACCATAACAATTAGGGACTTCCATTACTTTGTGAATCGCAAAGAAATGTTTCCGAAAGAGATCGAGCCTTTACTGGGCTCTAGTCTTTTGAATATGGAAGGTGAGTCTACCGAACATTTCATTATCTCCACAAAACTTTGTTTTCCTGGTACTTATGATAACGATTATTAACCCAGGGGACGATTGGCGAAAGATGCGTAATCGTCTCAGTAGTGCGTTCAGTGGCTCCAAAATGAAATCAATGCTGCCGTTTATGGTGGAAGTTAGCAAAAATATTATAGAATATATAAAGGGTGAGTTTTTACATATATTATTACAAGATTTTGTTTACCAATTTTTTTTGTGTAGGTACGGTAAATTAAAAGAGCAGTGTAACAGGTATAACATAATTATACCTGTTTTTAATCACTGCTCTTTTAATTGCCTTAAAATATGTTTGTTTAGAAATAAAGCTTTATTTCGAAAAATAAAAAGGTGCAGAGCACAATTGCAAACTTTTTTAGATAAATATTTAAATGAGTAGATCTAGTTAATATTATGTGTGTGCTTACTTATTTTTTTTATGAGTAAGTGTTATAATTTGAACTTCTGCTTAGGGCACCAATCTGAAGACATGGACGTATTGGACCTTATGCGCCGCTATAACACAGACGTTGTGGCTTCCACTGGTTTTGGTCTCCACGTCAACTCCATCAGAGACAGAGACAACAAGTTCTTTACTATCGGTCAAAGAGCAGCAACCTTCACATTTTGGAGACGAATGTACTATTTCATAACGATACAGTTTCCAGCTGTGGCTAAAATTATGCAAGTAAGAAAGATTTTTAAAGTTTTTTCATTATTAAGTTTGGGAAGCCTCGAGTTGTTTCCAGTTTGCGCTGGCCATAATGACCTCTATTAACCCACTGAACAGTTTTTAGGTATCGAACTTCTTTCATCTGAAGGCACCGAGTTCTTCAGAAATATTGTTTCCGATACAATAGCTTATAGGAAAACTAATAATGTAGTAAGGCCCGATTTAATTCATTTACTAATGGAGGCCGCCCAGGGTACGTACTAGGTGTTTATAAATTTTGCGTAGCTAGGTTTTTGTTGATAAATTAAAACAACCCTCATTTTCTTTTCCAGATTTAACTTTAGATGAAATTACTGGTCAAATATACTTCGCTTTTCTGGCTAGTTATGAGTCTAGTACAAGTACTTTGATGATGTGCATCCACGAACTAGCACTTCGCCCAGACATAGCAGAAAAAATATACCAGGAAATCAGGACTAAGCAGGAGAAATTTGGAGAGTTGAATTATGAATGTATCATTGAATTGAAATATATGGAATGTGTTTTAAATGGTAAGTACTTGGATTTTGATATCTATCTAGGGAATAACCAACAGATAGAATATTTATGAATTATTGTATTGTTTGCAGAGGCCGCGAGGAAATGGTCTGTGGCTGTAGTCATGGACAGAGTTTGTACTGAGAATTACGTATTACCTCCTCCTAGAGAGGATGGTAAACCCTATTGGGTGAGTATTATTGAATTTCTATTGTCTAGTGATTACGAAATATTACATTGCACATTGAATAAAAATGAAATGGAAAAGAAATAATAGAATACATACCAATGGTGTGTTGTTATGGACTAGAGTTTCGGGAATCATTTTAATTAATGTGAACGTACAAATCCATATTTGTAAGATACTGTGAATCAGTAGAAATGCGATCTTACTATATTCTGACACCAATCTACGAAATCGTTGTTTTTAATTTCTATTTCAGAATTTCGTTTCGAAATTCCTCAAGAATCATAAATCTTGTGTGGGTAAATGGGCAAATGTTAATTATTTCATATGCTACAGTGAGATTTAGCACTAGCAATCTTGCTGCAAGTTTCAGTGTCTGTGAGAGGTGCACTAAATTTCTGTAGTTTCTGAGATTAGCCAGAACTCATTAGCTCTTAAATTAGCCGGGGACTCCACAGTCTCCTTGCTCCGTTGTTTAATTAAAAAAAGTATTGCAACCTTTTCGGATTACGCAAAGAACAATTAAATGTACAATTTTCCTGTATAAAATTGTTGGTTTCTGAGAATTCAATGGAAATATTTCTATACAAGGTTTTGGAAATTATTAAAATTGTTGATTCACACTTGGCTTAAATTCAACGATATGTCTATTCTTACATTCGTGTGTTTTTACAGGTTCAACCAGGAGATGTGGTGTATAATGTGGTGAACTCTATTCACATGGACCAGGCTTTCCACCCATCACCAGAAACCTTCGACCCTGATAGATTTTGTGACGAAAATAAATACAATGTTAACTCTTTTACCCACATGCCTTTTGGAATGGGACCCAGGAATTGTCTTGGTAAGTTAAGAAGGTCCTTCAAAAAACACGAGCAATTAAAAAGATGTTAAACATTTTTGTTTGAGTCTTTTATAATAAAAGTTTATACTTATAAGGAACACTATTCAAAGTTAAAATTAGATGTATTAATCTATGTGTATAATGTATACAAATAAATCTCTAAATGTTTTGGCGCTTACAATTTAACAACGCCTGGACAAACTTTGCCAATGCTTTTAATTTGTTGAGTTTGACACAAAAATAAATTTTCTATGAAATAAAAAACAGAAAAGTAAAGGGATAATTCGGCAATTATAATTACGAAAATAGTTGAGGACTAAAGCTTAGTAAAATTAAAAGATTTAATTTATTTTCCAGGAATGAGATACGCGATGCTTAAAATGAAAGTGCTGCTGTACCATTTAATACTGAACTACAAGATACTTCGATGTAAGAAGACCTCCGATCCTCTTCGTTTGCAGCCTCTGGACTTCAGTGTTAGAGCTATTGGAAACACCTATGTACAGTTCCAGAGAAGACCATGACCATACCAATAAAAGAACAATTGATTTTTTTAAATTTCTTTGAAAGGTCTGAACGGATTAGGCGTGATATTTTCTCTATGGTTATTGTAAAGCAAATCCTATACGTCATTTGCGGTACAATGTTCTGAATATAAATCCTTAAAAACAATAACTAAATAAATAAATAAAAATTAAAAATACGTAAGAATATAAACAAACAACATCTGAATATTTTAGAACATTTACATTGAATAGGTAATATAAAATTATTTATGACATTAGTGTTGTTTTTTACACATTGTATTGCAACGAATAGTAATTATTTAAATGCAACGCTATGATTTTAGCTTCGTGGAACGTAATACTGATAACTTTCCACCTGCCTCAGATCCCAGAAATTAGTTTTTGATTCCAGAACACTTTTAATGAAGCGCATAGCCTATAGGTACTATGTAATGGATTGTGAAACTATTGCCATGCACCAAATCGAAATAACGAATCACAGCTATTTAGAAATGTGTATAAAAATGATACAGAGCCATCCTTCGGTACAAATGGGTAGTTTCGACCGTAGTGAGTCGTGAATAGTGATACGTGGTGAAAACCGGCGTGACACAACAATAACGTTGTATTTCGCCCTGTAAGTGAGGTTACCGGATACCCAATCCTTGCCCTCCTCCCATCCCTTCCCAATCTACAAATCTCCGAAACCCTAACCCCTAGAAGGCCGGCAATGCACTCATAATTCCTCAGGTATTGGTTTAATACGACCTATCACATAAAAAAAAACCATCTTGAACCAAACTGACCTAAAATTCCAATCAGAACCACCCTTGTACCCTCGCCTAGGTTTGCAGAGAGTAATTATACTTAACCTACCGATATGAAATCACCAAACGCTTCATTTGCAGCAAACGTAATATTACAAAGTTATAATGAAAGACTACATTAAAACTTTTTTAAATCACATCATAAAATAAACATACGCTGCTATCAACGTAGTGTAGCACATAACAACATACGGGTCTATATTAGAACTAAACACGCCGCGTTTTTCATTCTTCAAGCAATTTGTTTTGATTACAAATTTTAATGTGAAAAGTAGAATATTTATGTAATATAACACGTATGTATGCAATTCTTCGAAGGTTAAAAGAAAGCCATTTCACCCATTATTTTAATAAAAAATTCGCCCCATTGACGACTTATTACTTTTCAGACATAATATTCTTCCATGCATATTCTGTATAATTTCGAAGAAGTGGAAAATGTAATTAATACTTTATAAAGGAATTTTCTTTATGTATTGTGAAACTGTTGTGATGATAATTGAAGAAATGGAAGAGGGTAGTGTGGGCAGGTCTCATGTCATCAGAGTGGAGTCTTCTGGTTAATGATGATGATGACCTTTTCTCACAAAATCCTCAGCCAAGTTTAGCCTTACTTTCATACGGGTATCAAAGAGCGGATCGTCGCGGAACGCGTCCGTATGCGATCACAACTAAATAACGTCCATTTGGCAGGCTTTCATCGTGTTTTTAGAACAAGCACATTTTAACTTGCCACGCTGCGGCTTAGCGTAGCCATAACTACAGCAGAACCGGGATTTCCCTTTATTAAATTAAATAATGTTATATAACGCTAAATAGGCTAGCAACACCGTGCAACCGCTTACCTCCAATGTTTTATGATTATTACACCAGATAAGGTTATATTAAGAAACTTACTTTGTACTCGTAGGTAGCAATCTGATAGTAGCGCTTATTTTTACGCCTTGCTTGTTGTAAAGCACCAAAGGTTGTGAGTAATACAATAAAAATTCTAGTGTTCTTTTGTTTGGGAACCTTTCTATTTAGTTTGATTATTATTTTTAATATAAATAACTCATCAAAAATAAAACTATTGCTAAATTTAGGCATTACTGATGGTAATTGGCACTTAATCCTCCTTGCAGCGTTCTTATTACGCCTAAACATGATATTTAAGAAATATCCAAGAGTACTCCCAAAATATGTTTATTTGGCAACGTAAAACGTGTTGGAATTATCAGTGGGTTTATAATATTTTTTCAACATTAAACAACTTGTTCAGACTTATGCTATCCTAGTACGGGTCCACTACATAGTCACACTAAGTAGTTAGTGTGCAATTTGCGAGTTATTTTAATGTTAATTCAGTGCCGGCAGAAGCCAGCCCGACCACAGACTATAAATTCACCATGTCACCGCTTCACTGGCAAATAAACTGTTGCTATTTCAGGTCTGTGCCTTCGGCTTGACCTTTCGGAGATAACTACCCCTACATTAGAGTACACACATGGCTACTACTTACCTTCTTTATCCTTTGTGTGAGTGCAACCTGCTTAGCGAGCATCTCCTTGCGTCGTCGCGCATGCGCGAGACGCGGCGGCGGCAGGCGCGCGAGGCGTGAGCGCGCTCTTGTTAGTACGCTATCACCACGTTAGCGTGCGCACATGCTGCTATTTTATGCAATAAGATACGTGAAACGAGAATACGAGTAACGTTGTTGTAACGTTTTTGAAGTGTTAAGTGACTTGCCAGTGGATTACAAGCCAACGTAACGAATTGGTAAGTTCTTGATATTTGTTTTATTCTTTTTGTGAGTGCTTTATTTGTTAAAGGAATCTGCTGAGTGTAAACATAATTTTTGTTGCTGTGCATGGCTAAGCTGGATATTTGTACGCATGCATGTCGGTTCGCTATCGCAACCAATGCTGACTAGCTCTGTCGGACATTCCATCCACAGGGTGCGTGAGATATCTGTTCTATACGACACGTCAGCTGCACGGCTACTGTCATAAATGTCAGATACTCGCTCGCGCGGCGCGGCTCAAATATTGAGCAGCGCGGCTCAAATATTGCGCGGCGCGGCTCAAATATTGAGCGGCGCGGCTCGAGTTTCCAGCCGCGCGGCGTGAATATTGTATGGCGTGGCTTGACGGCCGACCTATGCAACTAACCTATACATAGGTTATCCTACGAACCGCCTGCGCCTACGGTTACAGTCGATTATGGGTTTGTCAGTAACGCTGACTGACTTGACAGCTTAGTAACGATCTCGTTGCTTGCTTCAGATGGCGCAGGGAAGAGGCTATACGACGCTTGGGGAGTTGCTTGTCGAGAATGCGGAAACCCAACAAGATGGGGCGATACTGGAGCGTATCAAGATCTTGGCGCAGGAGTCTCTACCCAAGGGTTGGACACAATGGGAAGTCATTAACGCCTCAAAGGAGGAGATTTTCGCGGAAAAACCTGAACCTAACGTTTTGAATAAACTAGTGTTCGCGCTCCCTACGGTAGGTTTAGTTCGAGCCTTTGATCCAGAGGCAGATCATCTCTCAGAAAAGGGATATCGTGATATAAGGTTCAAATTGCTAGATTGGGCATTTACCCGCGCCCTCATTCTGGGGCCGCCCTCAATAGCAAACCGAATTAGGGGATCAGCGGCCCGCACCGAGCTTTTCAAGCAATCGGTGGATGGATTACGGCCTCTGCTGCACACCCGGTATAAGGCTAACAAAATCCTATCGGGCAGCCTCTCAGAGTCCGAAAAATCTAACCGTAAGAGGAGAAGTTGTTCATCCGTCTTCGATCGCAGCCAATCACAAAAGCGAAGACGAATCTCACCCGTGGCATCAACATCACAAGACAGTAGGATCGAGTGCTTAGAAAAGAAAATAAACAGCATGTTTGCTCTCCTCTTAGAAAGAATTGACACTCATCACCAGCAGCAAACAAATCTGGCTCAGACAAGGGAGCCAGACTCAGATAAGGAAAATTACTCGGACTCGGAAGAATATTCAGGTACTGATTCATCGGCTGGTTGCTCTTGGAATGGCCCGAAGATGGATATTTTTTCAAGGGGCCCAGAAATGTCACCACCTACTGAAATAGAATTCCGTCCCAGGATAAAAGAGATGGACCCTCTCATACCAGAATTTTCCGAACCGATAAAGAAAGAGGGCATCGAATGTCAAAGACTGGGTTCGGAAGGCTGGAACCGGATCCGATACAAAGAGGTGGAAAAGCGCTTACAGGCTGCCTCTGTTTTTAGTGCCTTAAAGGTTAATATAGAGCTCGGAAGTCTTAAAAATCAACCATTTCCTTTCCTAGCTAAATAGAAAGGTATGCTCGGCACTATTAGTCATGGTTTGCTCTTGCAGAGGAAAGCTCTGGCTGACGGTCTCAATAATATTATAAAAAAATGTCCAGATGCGGGTGACGAATTGCGTAAGCTTTTGGCTGATGACTCCCAATTTAAGGTCTTGACGGATGATTTGCTGCAGTTCGTTTGTGCTCATCGTGCAGAAGCTATAGAGGCAAGACGAAGAGCTTATATGCCGAAGAACGTACCACTAGGTGCTGCTTTACACAGTATCCCACCGTCTTCTACCCATCTTTTTGATGAAAAACTATTGGGAACATTTCTGAGAGACAACGGTGGACTAGCACAGATATTTCCAGTTTTAAGTAACAGGTTTTCGGAGAGGAAAGTAAACAAAGAGACATTTCGTAAAACAGCGTCTCACCCAGCGAGAGGTAGACAGCAATCTGGGCGCACACGTCTTTCAGCATCATCACACAATGCATCAGCCCAGCCAACAGCCTATCGTATGTCTGGAGGTTCCAAACCGTCCAATAAGCAACGAAACCGACCCAAAAGGGATCAAAAGTTACCTAAGCGTAGGTATTGACAATTTTCGCGGGGGGCAACTAATGGATTTTCTTTGGCAGTGGGAAAAACTAGGAGCCCCAAAGAAGATCTTAAAGACAATTTCCGGTTACACAATACCATTCGTAACAAAACCACCATCAGTCCCCTTACGCAAAAACTTAGAAAGATTTACGACAAGAATCTCCGATGCAATGTCGAGGGAGTTAAAAGTTCTCCTCAGAACAGGTGTAATAGAGAAGTGCGATGCTATGAACGGGTTTTTGTCTCGGATGTTTTTGATCCCAAAAACCAACGGAAAAGTGAGACAAATATTCGATCTTCGTCGCC